GTATAAAACTATTAAGAATTTTCAATGATACCAAATAAATAAACCAATTTGGTTATAACTATTTATTAGTCATAATATTCTTAATTTATACAATTTCATATACATGTAAGGGCATAGTTATACCTTTGACCTAACACTTGACAAACCATAAACCATAAGACTTCATCTTTCAAATTGGTTTGTACGTAGTTAAAATCCGTAGGGAATTCTATACCAAATCAACGTGCACAACTTAAGGGGTAAGAGTTCCTTTTGTTACAAAACCAAGTAAATTCCATGGAATCTTTCTACTGACCAGTGAGTCATGGACAAATACTTTACAATGCCACAAGTCAAATTGCAAACAAGGCATATTGTCCCTTTCACCAATTTTCCTGGATAATTTTGTCCCTTTATCTTTTAATCTTTGTCTATTTGTTTCTTATCATGAATCACATATATATAGCATCTTATCTATTTAGATGCAACCTGGCTCTTATACCAATTGATAGAAAACAAGTATGAACAGCGGAAGCAAATAGCCAGGATCACTTGCATGTAATATAGACAACACATAATCATAGATTTTAATCAAACATAAAATCGATACTTATCTCTTGAAGTGTGACTGCAATCGCAATAAGACCTTCAAGCATGAGCAAAAACCATCCACGAGATCATCCTCCAGTTCCACGGTCTTCTGCTGCGTGACCCAAATAATGCTCGGAATTAGCGAAACTCGTGTGGGCGAGTTTTTCCTAGGAAAACTGTGTGGTAAAACCCTTGCCTCCTTATTCCATAAGACCTCTTTATGTAGCCACATGTTTTAGGGTTTAAAATATTTTCCTAAACCTGTTGGGTCTTTCTTTTCCACCAAGAAATATAATTCCATTTAATTCCTAATTATTCGGTCACAGCAGGGACCGCGGTATTTAATTAACGAGGCTTCCTATTATGGACTTAATTCGAAATATCTGAATTAATACTACCATAATAAATTACAAATTATTCCACTAAAAATTTGTAACTGCACTCCTCAGTTCAATTTCAAAATTCTTCCATTAAACTTTATTTAACTCCTCATGTTAAAATTCAGATACTAATTGAATAAATTAAATTACTGACAATTTAATTCATTGATTATTTCCTTTAGACTTTCGCTTAACTTATTTCATGTGACGAATACAAAATCCACCCGCAAGGTTTACACATGAAAACTTGTAAGCTTTCATAAAGGTATATCATCAGTCTCTAGATCAAGACATGGATTCCATCAACTTACTATTACTTTGTCAATGTATATCATTATTGTCCAATTTACCAGGCATATTGATCCACGAAAGAATCTTGCCTTTTAATAAATCAAAACAATAATAAAACAACTAATAATAATTATATCAAGCTTAAAAGTATAAGTACATTTAATGGCTAGAGAATTTATTTTATTAAGTCAGTGTAAAATACTTATCTCTACTTGGTTCGTTCAATACATACAAAATGTACTAGCACAAGAAGTCAGAATTAAACCATTCACATAGTCAAGATAAAATACATGTAATCTTGTGCTACAATCATTCCTGATGGTTTGTCCAATTCCATCATTAGAACTGTGAACATGATCTGTATACTTATAAGAACCGATGATTTAATCTTTCGTGTATAAGCTAAACTCTATACACTAAATCATCTACTATATAAGCAAATGACACAAACGAATATATGATCTATTTAAAATTTTATAAAAATTGAATAAACAATTGTTCCATAATAAATATTATATCCAAACCAAAATTCATGATTAATAGTATATATCCCAACAGATTACGCTCATAATAGGAGCCAACTTTTGATCTCACTGGTTAATGGTTAGTACGCATCATTAGCCATGCATATTTCTTCAAGGAAAAATTCTCTATCAATATCTTTAACGTGAGATCTCACTGGATGACTTTTCCAACTTCTTTTATGATCTCCTTTAGCTTTCTCTAATTATAATAACTTTGTTATTGATTGGTAAATAATTAGGGACAAATACTGATTCTTGGAGATAGTTTGGGACTTGTCAAAAGTATTTGGACACAGGATATTAGAACTATTCGGATAATCATGACATATCTCTTATTTGCTTTAAACGATCTTCACTCGACCCATAGATACTAAGATAGTCATAGAGATATACAGCCCCCAAATACAAGTTTATTTGAAGGTTAATATGCATGGATACCAAAGATGTATGAGACATGCGAGAGGAGCTTTGAGTCATGATGAGTATGTGCTCCGAAGAAAATCAAATTTGTGATTAATCCATCTAGGATCATGCATTCAGATATCTTTATAACTATAAGACAACTTCGCATCTATACTCTTTAACTGTCAATTATGTCATGCATAATGGTTGAACTACAAAAGAAGGTAACAGAATCTCTATAAAGTTAGTTAAACAAACAAAACTTGATTCGCTAACCATCACCAATATATGACTATTTCTTGATTCATAGGGCTTTTTTCTTTCAAATTACTTCGAAAAAAAAATGCTTTGTAGCATGACATTCCATGTTTAGAAAATCATTTCGAAATATAGAGAGAAAGCAACAAATATCTAAGTAAATTTAATTTAATATTGTTGGGATTAAACACACACGCAAGTATACGTGGTCGTCAAGTAATAAAGTAACTCGAAAGTTGGATGTCGAACCCACACAGACTTAGATTGATCGATAACTAAGTAAACTAAAATTAAATAATTGTCCAAAATATTTAAGAGTGATATTTTTCTATTAATCTACTATTGCGGAAATTAAATAAATAACAACTAAATTATCAAGAATGCGATTTGTATGACGAGATTTTACTTCAGGGGAGATGGAAATTCCAGGGTTGTGGCTGGTTTATCAATCCTATTAAGTTCAATAATCACACTCGTTAATCCACATTATCTATGGTTGCTAATTAATCGGATCGTTTATATAAATAGCATGTTCCCACAATACTATTCGCCTGCTCACAATATATTAATCTTATATTCCTATGGTATTGAGTCGATCATGAACGAATATAATACGGTATTCAATTAAGCAAGACTGTTAGGTATATTCCTATCTTAACCGTGAAATCCTCCCCCGAGTCACGGGTTCAGAAACAAGCTCTCTCTAATTCTACTCTAATCTAAACACGGCTTTCTCAAGCGTAGCATAGATAGTAGGGTGAATTGGTAGCTACAACAATTCACAATTTGAAACTAGAATTAAAGAAACAACCACAAGATGATATCCGAATTAACGAAGATGTAATTAATAAACTTTAATAATCATGTCAACCATAACCCTAGAATGTAGAGTGCTTAGCCACTCATGTTCATAATAACATTTTTCTAAGTATTTTGCATAAACAAATTACAAAGAAAAGAAAAAGGGATGAAGAACTCTATGATTTTCTCCTCCAAAAGTTATCCACGTGATGCCCTTGTCTCTGATCGCAAAAAAACTCCTTCAAAGTGGCGTTTTTAGGCATAACTCCTGGTGGACCTGGCCCCAGGCCTGGCGTCGCCAGGCATAACGCCTGGTTAAGCTTGGCCTCTGCATTGCCTCGCCAGGTCTCTCGCCAACTACAAGCCTGGTGTCGCCAGGTCTAACGCTTGTTTTAGGCCTGGCTTCGCCAACTTTCTCCTTTTCACTGTTCTCGAGCACACTTTCAACGTTTAAGTATTCCTCTTGCTTTACTTTCATCTTCAATTCACCTACACATAAAATAGACCACATTACGTGCAAATAAAGTATAACTTATCACTAAAAATGCAACGCAAATAATGTACGAAACTATGGAATTATAGTCCCACATCAAATATTTTATTTTTGAAGGTTTGAACAATATTCAATTCATTTAAATTTAATAGGTCTACATGTAAGTAAATTGATCATTGTTATACAAAATTTAAATCAATTGACAAGGGATATACGTGCAACGCACATATGTAGAAACTAATATTTTTAAAATATCACATCACATCTCAGTCAGAGCTCATTCAAAATCGTGACAATACAATTGAATTCTAATATTTAAAATTCAATATAATTTGAACTGTGATCATTTACCTACCAAAGTGTCCTCATGAGATAGATTGAATCTCTATTAGAAGCACGTGAGTGATTGTTGTTTCAAACTTTTTTTTTTTGGTAAGAGGGGAAATACGCAGCCATTACAATCTCTGCCACAGTCTCCGTTCTTTGGGTGAGCATTCTGTGGTGAGCACTTTCTGCGCACTGGATAAATTTCTCCCTGTGTAATAGCCTGCAAACCACACAGGAGATGTAAACCGCACTAGGCAAGCTCTGTGCGATAGACGAGGTAAAATTCAAAAATAGTCAGAATTATAAGTGGTAATTGAAAAATAGCCACATTTTCAAAAGTACTCCACTTTTCAGTAAAGATAAATCTCCACGAAAACATTGTTCAAAATTCGAAATATATTTCGGCATAATATATTGGAGTTCCAGTGTAATATACTGGAGTTCCAGCATAATATACTAGAGTTCCACCAAAATATACTAGTCAGCATAATATGTTGGAAGCACATACACATGGCTCCAATCTCCAGTATATTATGCTGGAACTTTCCATGTGTTGGAGTTCCAGCATAATATACTAGAGTTCCACCAAAATATACTAGTCAGCATAATATGTTGGAAGCACATACACATGGCTCCAATCTCCAGTATATTATGCTGGAACTTTCCATGTGTTGGAGTTCCAGCATAATATGCTGCAAGTTCATACACATGTGCATTAATCTCCGGTATATTATGTTGGAACTTTCCGTATTGCCGTAAAAAAGTGGCTATTTTTAATAACTTTGCAAGCGCTGACTATTTTTTAATTACTAGTCCGAAAACTGGCTAGATCGTGCTATTTTCACATATAAAAGTCACAATGAGCTTTCTCTTTAGTGAGCTTATCCAAATATCAAGATGGGCCAAAGGTTTATTTTTGGGCTTTTTATATTGGGCCTTAAAGATATTTTAGTTGTTCCATTTCCATACGCTTCTCTAACTCTAAAAATGAAAACCAGCTTAATGAAAAGTCTCAATTTTCTGAACAGAAATTAGCTAAAAATGGAGTCTTTATTTATGAAAAATTTGATCTTTGCAACTCAAAGTGCAGTTCCAGTGAGGAATTCAATAAACCCAATTCGTATAAGAAGAATTTGCAGCTGTTCTTGGAAAATTCACTTCAAAAAATCAGACTTTCCAGGTACACTTTGGAAGGAAATTGGAAAGTTTTAAACTTTTTTTCTTTCTTTCTATGTTTTGTAACTTTTCATGGTGTTATAGATAATGTTTGTAACTTTTTATGGTGATAAATTTGTTGCTATATTAATTGTTAATGGCAACTTTTGTGTTTGTTAGTATGAGGTTATGAGCTAACTTGGAAATAGTTGATGATATTTTTATTGGATTTTGCATTTGTTACCGCTGATATTTGATTTACTAGAATAATAAGTATTTTAGTCATAGGAGGAGTCTTTGTTTAAATTTAAATTTAATTAGATAATTTTGTTGAGATAGTTTGGGTTTTGAATTTGAATATTTATTCTGCATATTCTGTTTTTAAGTTGGCTATTTAAAGCCTTCCTTGGTTAATAAAATTTATGAGAGACAATTTTCAATTAATACTTTAAATCTTCTTGCTGCTTCATCCTGTTAAAAAATCCAACGATTTTACTGCTAAGCTTTGGGAAAGAGTACTATTGAGGATGTTGAGGTATTTTCACTTGGGGGTAGTTTGTGATTTGAAATTTTTATTTTGTGACGAGGGAAATGAGATATATATCAAAAAATGTGAGTTGGGTTTTCTGTTTATTGGTATCAGGAGAGTTCAAAATGCTGAGGAAAAATTTTGTGAAATTTTATGGAAGTTTGAACACGTGTGGGGAGTTTTATGCAGTGCCTAAAAAGTAAAAACCTATCAGCAGCAGCTAAAGTTTAAATGTTCATAGAGATAAAGAGGATCTTGGATTGAGATGATCACATGGATTAGTCTAAGCACTTCCCGAGTGCCATTTTTGTGAATAAAACTTGTCAAAAAATGATAGGAGTATTGTTGAATGGAACGATTTGATGCGTTAAACCTCTATGAGTGCACGGTCATTGTTAGCTTCTAAATATATGAAGTTGGTGTCCAGCTATGTTATGTAATCTGTTCTGGTTATTCTTTCACTTCAGTTGAATAGAGAAAAAGTTGAACAAACCACTTTATCTAGATTCATATATGGCTAAAAAGGTGCAGACTCTGGTGTTTCATTTACTCATTCATGCTAGTACTTTTGTTTCAGCTTCTCACTTTAATTATGCAACTCAATTTTTCAGATTTCCGGGACTATGTAAAACCTTCCCGACTTTTACCATCCACTGACATAAAATTTGGTGGAGATTGGTCGCTGGAAAACATGCTCAATCGTTCAAATTTGGATAAGTCCAATTCCTTGTACAAAGTCAAGCTGCAAACAAGTAGCGCATATGGATCAGATCTCACCGACATAAACTCTGGAGTCCTGCTTTGTTTGATAGATGAAAATGGTGAGTCAATCTTACAGAGGAGATCAGCTGGTCAGGAAAACGCCCATTCTATGCAGTCACAAAGCTCTGATCTTCTCCATTTCCAAAGAGGTTCCGTGGATGAGTTCATATTTGAGGGACCTAAACTTGGAAAAATTGTAGCTGTTTGGATCAGCCCAGAATCAGGTTAGAATATCCAGAAAAGCCGATCAAACTGTTACATGCATATTTATCCGAAATGTACATCTGGCATTTTGATATTCACCAAACTGCATTTTGACAGTAGTCGGTTTACACTTCACACTCTCTTTAAGCCTATCTCAAATGGTGGGGAAAAAAAAAAAGAATATCTCAAACCAGTAAGAATCCTGATTACTCAACAGTAGCATTCATCAAGTTTACACCAATATTTTGCAGTAATTGGTTACATCATTTGTGTATAGAACAAGAAGAATGACAAGTTTGAAGGAGATTGGGGGTATGGGGATTCAGACTTCGGCATATACTAGTGATACACTTAGTGAGTGCTTAGTTCTCAGTATCTCTGTCAATTGGACCCGGACTATAAGCGCCTAAATGAGAATATGAATTTGTCAAAAGATGCTCATTGTGGACTATTAGTTAGATTACTATTATGCATATTTAAGCATCAAAAAAGAAATTAACAAACATGAGTTCTCTATATTTTGTTCCAACGTGAATAAGCAGGTCAGTGGAAACTTGGAGGCATGAGCATAACTGTCATTTCCCTGCTAAATTCTGAGTCAGTAGGAAATGAGAAGAATTTATCCGACTGTACTGCTGTCCAGTATGACTTTGATATCGAGGATGTCTTGCTCGGTGAGAAAAGCGATAGTTCCATGTTAGAGTTTAGACCATTTTCAGTTACTGAGTTTTCCCAGGACAACATTTTATCATTAACTGAGAAAACTTCGACATCATCTTCCCTTGCCACTCAGAAGATATCAAATGAAGACACCATGAAGGAATATGCAGATTTGAAGTTATCTTTATTGCTTTATGATGCAATCCTCACTATTGCTGGTTCGTCCATTGCATTCTTAGCCGGGGAAAAGGCTGCAATCGCCTTCTTAACAGGTGGTATCGGAGGATTTCTATATCTATTACTCGTGCAGAGGTCGATTGATGGTATACCATCTTCAGACTTGACTTCAAGTATCAGGACAGAAACTCTTGAACGAACTAATAAAAGATTCAAGGGTTCAGTGTTAAGCATAGTATTGGCTCTTTCAGTTACTACAGTTGCAGCAAAATATGCCCTCAATGACGTTTCCAGTGTGCTGACACCGAAAGATCTCATGCTTGGAACTATCGGATTTCTGTTGTCCAAGGTATCTGTGTTCTTGGCTGCATTCCGACCCATAACAGGTTTTAGAGAAAACAAATGATAATGTACTGTTAGTATTCCTTGCACATTCATGTATATAGCTAATACAGAGTTACAGACATAGAGATGTATAGAATCAATAAATGTTCATTTTAGTTATAATCTGTCTACAGTTGTATATGCATCCAACAATAACAAAGATTTGTACTTTGTCAATAATTTGGAAAATGCTAAACTCGAGATGTTTTTATTTCTATAAGTGGCATTTCATGTTTGATAGATTAAAATGGTGAGTCAATCTTACAGAGGATATCGGCTGGTCTGGAAAATGCCCATAAGTTCAAAAGGAATACAGATATGCGTCTGCCGGGAGTCGAACCCGGGTCTATTGCTTGGAAGGCAATTATCCTAACCGTTGGACTACAAACGCCTTGTTGTACTCACTTCATAGTTTTGCATATATAATCGTATATATCATGTGGACCACATTTTAGGCAACATGATGCTGGAAAACAGTGTTATGAGGTGATAGTATCCAATGAACTTATACCAACAATGGAACATTTGGCATGAGCCTCCATGTTTTGGTTCAATGGTCAGGATGCGACACGTGATGTATAATTAGCCACACGTCATGGGGTCGAATCTAGTCGTTTGAACTTGTGGGCCGACTAAACTCAGGCCAGAAGCCTACAGGGAATTTTTCCGATAACAATTAAAATGGAAGATTTCCCATGAAAAGGCTTGCACTTTGCTGTCTCTTTCGAGATGATGATAATCCAAGAAGTTACACTATCACTAATAAGCTGCCTTCACTATCACAGGCAGATCCAATAGTTTGTATTTAACATGAATTTTTTATTAACAAAAAATTAAAGTATGTATATATATACAGTCTAGTCGAATGCTGTTAATTATTTTGTACGTTTTGCCTTCAATTTACGTTCAAAGACAGATAGTATGAACAGGAGGTAGAAATAAATTACAGTAAGTATGTCTTGAGAAAAGCAAACAACAAGCTCTAGGCAAAGAGATCAGTATTTTTGTAGTCTTTTAAGTATTTCTGTAGATATGCTGTTCACACTATCCATAGAAGAAGTTATAGTGTTTTTTGTGATGCATTAATTGTCTCCATTGGAACAAGAAGTTCAAAGCATGTTACAGTTTCTTGAAACGATGAGAATTATATTTTTGGGGTATACAAAACCATAAAGTCTACTTAAGTTCAAGTATATCAGATTGTCTTGAAAAAGCAATAGGCATGCTTAGTCAATGAGATCAGTGTTTTAGGGGAAACAAAAACATTAATTCCACTTAATAAATGCACATAAATGATCAAACATATATAAATAGGGATATTATGAATTATATGGTATTCAAGACTTTGATCTAACAACCAGTATCCAAACTACACCTTACAGCAAAACCACAAGAACATAGTTTACCTTACTGTACTAACCATGACGTTTGGGCAAATGGTGAATGGCTCTTCTTCTAGTGAATATCCACTACAAGTTGTTGATCCAAAACATGTTGCAGTAGTAGAACCAAAAACTTCTAGTGTTCATGCACCCATTATTTCAACCTTGAATGATAGAGTTCGACCCCTTCTCGACTGTGTTGACAAGCTTAGGCATCTCAACATCATGCAAGAAGGAATTCAGCTTCCTACCATTGTGGTGGTTGGAGATCAGTCTTCTGGAAAGTCCAGTGTACTCGAATCGCTTGCTGGAATCAGTCTTCCTAGAGGGCAAGGTATTTGTACTAGAGTGCCTCTAATCATGAGGCTCCAAAATCATATTGAGACAGAAGTTCATTTGGAGTACAATGGAAAATCAGTTCCAACAGATGAAGTTCATGTTGCGGAGGCTATTGTTCTTGCAACTAATGAGATAGCTGGACATGGTAAGGGAATATCCGACATTCCTTTAACACTTATAGTTAAAAAAAATGGTGTTCCTGACTTGACTATGGTGGATTTGCCTGGAATAACTAGAGTCCCCGTGCATGGACAGCCAGAAGATATCTTTGAACAAATTTCAGGTATTATTACGAAATATATTACACCTGAGGAAAGCATAATTTTGAATGTTCTATCAGCCACAGTTGATTTCCCTACTTGTGAGTCCATTAGAATGTCCCAAAAGGTGGACAAAACAGGCGAAAGGACTCTTGCGGTTGTGACAAAGGTAGATAAAGCTCCTGAAGGGCTACTTGAGAAAGTTACTGCAAATGATGTGAATATAGGGCTTGGTTATGTTTGTGTTAGAAATAGAACTGGGAATGAGTCTTATGAAGAAGCTCGTAGTGTGGAGGCAAGTCTTTTTGAAACTCATGCACTTTTATCCAAAATTGACAAGTCCATGGTTAGCATTCCAATTCTGGCACATAAGTTGGTGCAAATTCAAGCAAACATCATTTCTAACTGCTTGCCGGATATTGTGAGAAAGATCAATGATAAACTTGCTATCAATGTTGCTGCTCTTAATGAGTTACCACAGCGCTTGAGTTCTGTTGCTGAAGCTTTGGCTACGTTCATGCGTATTCTGAGTTCGGCCAAGGAATCTCTAAAGAAAATTTTCCTTAGAGGGGAGCTTGACGAGTACCCTGAAGATTGCGAAATGCATTGCACTGCTAGATTGGCTGAGATGCTCAACCAATACTCTGCTGAGCTACGTTCAAAGTACATTGAAGAAAAGGAAAACTTCTTGATGGACGAGATCATGTCTTTAAGAGAAGCAAGAGGGATTGGACTTCCAAATTTCCTTCCTCGTGTTGTTTTCCTTTCTGTTTTACAGCAAAAGGTAAGAGGGATTTCTGTAACTCCTGAGGAGTTTGTGGAGAAATTGTGGAACTATATAGAGGTGGTCGTCATCAAAGTTATGATGCATCATTCGTGTAACTACACACAGCTTCAGTATTTCATTAGGAGAGCAGTTCAAAATTTGATTGCCAAGAGGAAGGATGAATCTGTTGATTGGGTCCGTGAAATCATTGGGATGGAAAAGCTGACTGACTACACTAGTAATCCTGAGTATGCAGCTACTTGTAGTAAGCTCATGGCTAAAGAAACAATATTTATGGAGATTATGAATTATAAAAGAACAAACACGCTAATGCACCTTGAAGGATTTGGAGATATCGATGTTGGATATTTGAGGAAGCATATAGATGTTGTGCAACAAGCTTTTGAATTGAAGATGAGGATGACTGCATACTGGAAAATCGTGTTGATGAGATTGGTTGATTATATGGCTCTTTATATTATGTTCAGTCTTCAAAAGTTGGTTAACCTTGAGATCGAGGATGATATTGTTAAGATTCTGATGGCATCGAATGGTGGTGGCTTTGAGAGAATGCTGGAGGAATCACCCGTGGTTGCAGAGAAGCGTCTTAGGCTCAGTAACAGCGTGAAGTTGCTCAAGGAGTCGAAAGTGGTGGTGGTGAAAATCATGGACAGAATTGCTCTTCATGTTGATGAGGAAAAGGCTTAAACAAGCTTGATGCTTTTGGACAGAAGTTTGATGCTTTTGGACAGCATGTTTTGTTGTCCTTAAGCCTCTAGTTATCTTCTTTAATTTCATTTATCTATCTACCTAGTACTCTTTATTGATATGCATCATGTTTTGCTGTCCTTAAGCCTTTAGCATCTTAATTTGGTATTATGTTATAGTTTTGCAGATCATTAATTATTGTATTTCTATTAATGATTTTGATTCTGCGTTTCTTTCCTTCTAGTGATGCTCTAAGATTAATTCTTCTTCCAGTTTCATTTGCATATCACTTTGATTGGCTGTGCATTTGCTATCTCTATTACTTAAGTACTGACAATTTTCAGTTAGCTGAAGCCTTAAGTACTATTTCTCCTTCAGTTCACTGATATATAGACTTCTTTACCTATATCTTTCAGCACTTACTATGACATTTAAATTTATGTGACATATAAAAAGTATATGTTCCTTCTGTTACTTTGATTCATTGGATGAACCGACCATTTGTACTACCTATCAGATAGCTGAACTTGAAATGTTGATGGAGAAAATGAGGATCTTTGATTGAAATAACCACAAGGATTAGAGTGAGTTCAGTTTTTTTTTCCTTTAATAATCGAGGGTTACTTGGCGCACAGTTTGGAACTTGGTGGATAATGATGGATTGTCCCTCTATGCTTCTCTACTAAATATCAGGCTTTTGTTCGTAGCTGGGTTCGAGCTCGTGACGTGTGCCTATCCGACACATCACGCGCTGCACTCTTACCACCGAACCAATGTCATGGGTGCAGTTTGAGTTTAGTTTTAAACAGATTCTTTTAGCATGTTGAAGGATCCATAGGAAGTAGCGTTACCTATAGCATGCCTATTGACAGAGGTGCATAAAAGGAAAATGAAGAGTCCCTATAAAGAGCCATGAACTATCTCAGCAGTCTATGAACATAATGCGAAACTTTAAACAAGCATTATGCTATAAATGGTAAGGGAAAAAAGAGAATGAGTGACCATCAATCCCGAGATGTTGCTGTTGTTTTTCCTGAAAAGGCATTGAACAAAGGTCTGGCATTATAATTGCGGCATAACATGATGATTGTGATTTTGCTCTCGTCATATTTGATCTGCATGGTTCGGAGGAAGTGAGAAAATTTTGTGTTGACTTCTCAGGATTTTGATAAAATTGTCACATTTTGCTTTCCAAACACCTTGCATCTTCTTCATGATTTCAGTAGTCCATCAGCTAGCAAATTAATGAGCAAAACATATTTTCATTTCATCTATGGGTTGGAGGTGGAGGTATTAAAGAGAGGAGTAATGTTGGATAAAACGATTTAATAACCTCTGCGAATGCACAATCGTTGTTAGCTTCTAAATCTGCTGATTTCCATTGAATAGGGAACCAGAGTTGAACAATATCACTCTATCTAGATTCATATATTTATGCTAGTTTTTTTTTGGTTTGTTTCAGCTTCTCATGTTAATCGTGCAAATAAACTTTTCAGACTTCGGGGACTATTTAAAACCTTCCCGCCTTTTACCAGCCACTGACGTAAAATTTCGTGGAGATTGGTCGCTGGAGAACATTCTCAATCATTCAAAATTGTAAACATCGAATTCCTTATACAAAGTCAAGCTGCAAACAAGTAGTCCTGCTTTGTTTGATAGATGAATGTCCATTCTACAATCACAGAGTTCTGATCTTCTCCACTTCCAAAGAGGTTCTGTAGATGGGTTCATATTTGAGGGACCTAAACTTGGAAAAATTACAGCTGTTTGGATCAGGTCAGTGTTTCCAATTAAGTGATGTATATAAGTTCAGTTCTTTTAAGGATTGAGGTGTGATCTTTTTGTCCAGAAAAGCCTTCGGGATCAAACTGTTACATAATATTTCTCTGGAAAGTACATTTGGTGTTTCGATATACACCAAACTGCATTTGACAGTCACCTCAGTTTACACTTCACACTATGTTTGATCTTATCTCGAACCAGTTAGAATCTGGATTACTCAACAGTAAGGTTCATCAAGTTTACGCAAATATTCTGCATTAAATGATTACTGATGAGGTCCATCTCATTGAAAGAAGTATTAGACATGTGCCTAATAAAAGTTTTCTTTGGTTTGGTAGTTAACCTTGTTGACTTGGTTTGGTTGGTAGCCAACCTTGTTGAATTAGTTTGGTTTGGTAGCCAACTTTGTTGAATTTCTTTGGTTTGGTAGCCAACTTTGTTGAATTGTGAAAAGTGTATGTAAATTGTCAAATATGGTAGGTTTTAGAGAGTGAAGCTTTGGCTATAAAAGGAGAGCTTCAACTCTCATTTCTACACACCAACAAAGAGAGAAAAAAAAAGATTGAGGTTTCACAGACAAGGTATAAGAAAATAGTCTGTGAGGAAAATAGAGAGTGAACGATATT